CCGCGGGGCGCCACCCGCGCCGTGCCCGCGGGGCCCCCCGCGTGCCCGTGGTCACCCGCGCCGCGCCCGCAGGGACGCGTGGAAGCGGCGCCCGGCCACCAAGCTCGTGTTCTCCTCCTCGCTGCTGCGCGTCCACCGGCCCTGGCTCAGCCCGCACCTCGAGGCCGTCCTGCCGCCCTCGCTGCTCCTCTCGGACGACCACGAGGAGCAGAACAAGCTGCTGGGCGTGCGCTGCCTGCACCACATCGTGCTGCACGTGGTGAGCGGCAGGGGCCGAGTCCCTGCCCGAGGCGCTCGCTGCGCGTGGCCACGGGGGTGACTCCTTGTACGGCGCTTGCAGCCGGCCGCCGAGCTGCGCCAGTACAACAGGGCGCAGGTCGTGTACCATGCCCTCTACAACCACCTCTACTCGCGAGAGGCGCCGCTCATTGAGGTAAGCCCTGCTCCTGTGAGGTTAGTACCAGCCCACGCTGCTCCCAGGACAGCAAATACCGGTTCCAAAAACGTCCCCGGGGAGGGAGGATCTCTGGGCACCACCCAGGGCGGTAGGTGGGAGTTGGCGGCGGGGCTGGAGGCGCTCCGGCCACGCCGCGCATCCCGCTTGGATCCAGGCGGTGCTGCTGTGCCTGCTGGACCTGCTGCCCGTGCTGGAGGGAGCCCGGCAGCCCCAGAGGGAGCCGTGGGCGCCGGCCCCCTGCGACGAGGTGCTGCGCCTGCTGCTCACGCACATGGAGGCTGAGCACCGGCTGCCGCTGCGGCGCGTCTGCGCGCGCGCCCTGCCCGCCTTCGTGCAGAGGTGAGCGCGGGCGCGGGCGCTGCAGGGCCCTCCCGGCGCGCGCCCCCTCAGCGCTGCCGCTCCGTGCTCCAGGCTCGGCATCCACATAAGCCGCCACCTCCAGAGGCTCGAGCGGGTTGTCCTGGGCTACCTGGAGGTCTCCGATGGCCCCGGCGAGGAGGCCCGGCTGGCGGCCCTGGAGACGCTGCGCTGCGCCATAGAGCACGCCTGGCCCAGGTAGCCCGTGGGGCATGCGGGGTCTCCGGGGGGACACCGGGAAGCCAGCAGCCCCGTGCTGCGGAGCAGGCAGCCTCGGGGCTCCGCAGCTAGCCAGGACGTGCCTGGCTTGCAGAGTGCCTAAACCAAGCAGCGCTTGGCCTTTCCCTGCAGAATGCCCTGCAGGCTCCCCACGCTCCTCAAGGCGCTGCTGAGGCTGCTCTGGGACGTGCACACGGAGCAAGGGCCGACGCCGGAGCCCGTGAAAGCCGCCTTGCTGCAGGCAGCCACCGACTGCCTCGTGCTGCTGGACCGGTGCTCTGAGGGGCAAGTGAAGGTGAGCGCGGACCCAGCAGCATCACTGCGAAATCACTGCCCCCTTTCCCTGCGAAAGGGGTAGCGTGGGGCACACGGGAGCCCAGCGCCCTTCCCAAAGCATCACTTCCATCCAAGACTGGTACTCACTACCTATCGAGTCACCTACCCCCAGATACTGTGTTTTTTATCGTTCTCCTCCAAAACACGGTGGGGGAGGTCAAGCCCTAAATCTGAGTGTGTCCAGGAGCTGTAAGCTGACGCTGTCCCTATTTCAGGTGCTGCTGGAAGGGGTGTACAAGAGCTGTGAGGAAGGCCGCGTCCGGGAGTGCATCAGGAAAGTGCGAGAGACGCCGTGAGGAGGGGCTGCTCCCAGGCTCAGCCTGCTCTTGTACAGTAAAATACTTTTTTTTATTTAAAACCGACATCTTTGTCCTCTGTTCTCTGTGAGCCTCATGCCCCCACAAAGAGGGTACGCGTGTGTATCCCTTGTCACACCCAGGCCTTCCCAGCGATAGAATAAAGTCCTGGTGTCCCCTGTCCGGGCTCCTTCTGGAGCGCTCTGGGCTCAGCCTAGTGTAGCTGCCACAAAGCTGGGTGGTCATCTTCATTGCACTGCACTTCAGGCAGCAGCTGCACAAACTCACTACAGTTTTCCGGGGCTGGGACAGAAATTCTGCTCATCTTGGATAAAGAAAATTATGAATCCAGTGGGGGTAGGTTTTTTTTTGAGGGCCCTGCTCAGATGGGGGAAGCTGGAGTAGTTTTAGTGACAGATCTGGAGTCCTGTCATTCACTACAAAATGCAAGTCCAGGCAAGAGTCAGGTGGTTTTCGTTTTAGCAGCTGGCTCTGTTTCTTCTTCATACTCTATTTCAATGTAGGGTCGTTTTTTCCTGACTGGACCTTTCAGGGGAGTTTTTCCTTTGGATTTGGAGCGAGCGGCTTTCTTCTCTCTTTCTTCCTCCTCTTCCTCACTTGAGGACTTGTCTTCCTGCTCTTCCTCACTGCTTGTCTCCAACTTATCCATATCCTGAGCAAGCAAGAGGAGAGATTTAATGTTTGTGGTAACAACAGGGCGTCCAGGTAGCTAAACCTCTGCTTTGTGCAACACAATCCGTGCAGCCAGTTCCATGTTCCCTGGCTCCCAGCTCTCTGGCCGCCCGTGCTGAGGTGCAGGACACACCGTGCAGCCCCACGTGTCACTAAACCTCACAGATGGGACTGCACTGGTGCTCAGCCCCTCACCAGAGACACTGGCCCGGTGGAGGTTACTTTCGCGTAGCTTATTGGGAGGACGTGGTGCGTCACCTACCTCAAAATCACTGAGCTCGCTGTCATCGGCTTCCACAAACTCTCTCTTATCTGCGTCCTGTAAGAAATAATCAGGAGTGAGTGGGCATGCACAGAACACAAGACACTGTCCGCACCCACCAAGGAATTAGCGGAAAGGGAGAATTTCGGGACATAAATGCCCCTAACAGGTGAGCACGACGGTCTCTGCTCTTGAGCACACACCAGCTAAGAGCAGCCTGGCATGGGGGACAGGGACACCTCATCCTTCCCTTGCACAGAGGCGCCTTTCCTCAGTCCACCTCCCCTAGTCTGCTGCTCTTGGCCTTGAGACTCGCGGTGCCCGACGGGGCTGCACGAGGCCGGGGAATGCGGGGTCTGCAGCCCTGCTGGGAACATTACCTCGTCTTCCTCCTCTTCCTCCTTCTCCACATCGGAGTCGCTCTCCGCGTCCTGCTGCTGCAGAGCTTTGTCGAAAGCGTGGATGGGGAAGTTGTAGATGTCTCCGTACTGCAAAGGAAAACGGGGATTTGCTTCAGGTCACACCACATAAGCAGCCGTGGGTAACAGGAGCCTCTAAATCGCAGGGCTTTAGAGCCCCTGGTCCCCAGCTCGCGCTCCCGCGTGCGTAGGGGCCCTGCGGGCAGGACGTTCCCCAGCCGGCACGAGGGCAGCGCACCCGGAGGCCGGGCTGCCTGCGCCCCAACACACCCCCCCGCAGGAGGGGGCATCTCCCGGTCCCGAGGGCAGCGATCCTTACGGTCGCCTGTTTCAGTCTCTCCAGCAATTCCTTTTCGATGGCGTTATCCAGCTGAGCAGCTATCAGGGCTTTCTCCTAACGAACCAAAGAGGAGCCAGGTCGGTTGTTTTCAAGACACAGAGGCCACCAGAGAGCCGGTAGGGAAGAACCGCGTTACCTCTCTCCTCTTCTCCCGCCGTTCAATCTTCCTGCTCAAAGGAACCAGCTTCCTCCTGTGGGGAACAACGAGGGCCGGTTACCGGAGCTTCCAGCCTCACAAGATCCAGCACAGCAAACGCTCACTCGGGACAACAACCGGCCCCGTGGAAGGGGATGCATCATTAGAAGTGGGACTGCAACTAAGTTTAACTCCCTCTGTGGATCCTGGGTTCATTTCCAGGCCTGCCAAAGCTTCCAGTCAGCAGGAAAACCGCTGGAGCAAATTCCTACTGCTGCACAGGAGGCGGGGAAGTGTTTAAACGGGAAGCAGAGGGGGAAAAGCCAAGCGGAATTGCTCACTGTCGCTTGAGCGTCAGCTTGCGGATGCGGATGAGGTACTGCGTGATCTTGGTGAAGCGCTGCTTGCACTTGTGCCGGATGAAGCGCGGCCAGTAGATGAGATTCTCGTCTATCTCCTCCAGCGCCTTCTCGTAGTTCCTGCTCAGCAGCACCTGGGGGTGGAGGAAGAGGTTCCTGCTGCGGAGCTGCAGCACCGGGGCAGCCCCGGCACGGCTGCAGAGGGGGCTGCACAGGGGGCTGCACGGAGCTGCAGAGGGGATTGCAAACAGGGTGCAGAGCGGGCTACAAGAAGCTGCAGAAGGGCTGCACAGAGCTGCACAGGGGGCTGCACGGAGCTGCACAGAGCTGCAGAAGGGCTGCACGGAGCTGCACGGAGCTGCACGGAGCTGCACGGAGCTGCAGAAGGGCTGCACGGAGCTGCAGGCGCCGACTCACCCGCTCCCAGAGGCGCCGGGGAAACGCCGCCCGCTCGATGGTCTTCATGTACAGGTAGCAGCGGCCTAAGGGGAACGAGAACGGGAGCTGGGCGGGAAGGCCGGGCGCCTGCCGGGGCCTCCGCGGGCGCCGCGCCGGCCGCTCACCCTTCTCCTCGCGCACCGTGGCGTACTGGCTGTTGGCCAGCGGGCAGGACGAGCGGTTGCACAGGCCCGTGATGTTGTACTCATTGCGGCAGAAGTTCTGTGTTTTGGTCCTGCGGAAGCGGCAGCGGGAGCCGGGGCTCCCCGCGGAGCCGCCCCCCGCCGGAGCCGCCCGGCCCCCGCGCCCCCCCGGCACTCACTTGATCTTGTAGGAGCAGAACTGCCGGTTCCCGAGCGTGCTCCACACCACCTGCGAGGCACCGAGCGCCTCGTGCCCGGCCTCCCCGGGAGAGCCGCTCCCGCCCGCAGCAGCGGGACCCCCCGCGTGTCCCCCCACTCCAACACTCACCTTTCTTCCATAAATAGTACCCCCCCCCAAGCTATATTTGCCCCCCCCTCGGGTATATTTGCTCCCTATCCCATTCAAAGCCCCCCAGGTCTATCTGCCCCTAACTCCGGTTCAATCCCGACCCTCCCGGGTATATTCCATCCCCCTCCTGGGTCCATTTCTGT